TTCATCGTCTTGCCTTCCGTTCATCAAATTCTAATTCCCCGCAATGCGGCCTCTTTGGGCCCTTGGCCTTGCTTTATATATATATATATATATATTTTCTCCTTCTCTCTTCCCATTCCGGCATTTGCCTTTTGAGGCGTGCCATGGAATGGCCCTCCCTTCCGTCGCTTTCCTTCGTTATTTAGTTTTTATCACTTCTATTGGGCGAGTAACGGGGCGAGTCGGCCCTCGCGGTTGAGGTCCTCCACGTCGCTGCAGCCGCCGACGAACTTCCCATTGATGAAGATGGCGGGGACGGTGTCGTGCTTGTACTGGTCGTTGATTTCCTTCCGCAGCGCCTCGCCCTCGCTCATCTGGTCCACGTGGTAGACCTTGAGGTCGTTCGTCATGGGGCGCAGCAGCTTCTCCGCACGGACGCAGTAGGGGCAGGACACCCAGGCGAACATGACGACTTTGTTGGCGCCGCAGAGGGAGGCGAGTTGGCTCATCGGCGGTCGGTTTTGAAATGGACTGCGCTTCTGCTTCTGCCTTCCGTGTGGCGCGGCGGTGGGCGAGTTTGTCACGGGGTGAAACGATAAACCGTCTTCTCCCGCGCCCGGCAGACAACAAACAAAACAAAAGACAATAAAAAAAACACAAAAAAGCAAACAAACACGCAATGGAGAAAAAAAAAACTCCACGGCGCCGCGGGAGGAACCCCCCCCCACAGATGCAGAAGTAGTAATAGTAATAATAAACAAACAGAGAGGGCCGAGGCAAAGCACGCAACGGACATGCAGGCAAAGAAAGACAAATAAACGAATCAATCGGTCTCTTTTTTTACTTCTACTCTACAACGACTTTGGGTGCCACACCGCAACGGGCATGCGCACCGCACACGGCTCTCCCCTCCTGTATCTGCCGCCCAACTCCATCCTTGACAATCCTCCGTCAATTGCAACTCGTTTTTTCCCCCACCTTTGCTTCGCTTTTTATTACTCCTTCTTTCGCTGGAAAGCAACCGTCGCACACCGCTTACATACGTGTAAGCATATATATATATATATACACACACACACACACACACACACACGGACGCATCCCCCACCTTTTCTTCAGCGCGGGACCCCGTCAGCGAAAGTGTGCGGAGAGATCCAGCCACAGAGACGCAAATCGCGCCGCATCACCCGGCACGACTGCCCCCCCCCCACACACACAGACAGACACACAGACACACACACGCAGGTTGCTTACATTGCGTACACGTGCCCCGTGGGTGCGTGCGCTTGAAGTATAGCTTGTTTCACCCCCCGCAGCTCCGCTCCTCACTCTGGCTTGGGCAACGATGGCAAAAAGCAAATAAACCACCCGAGCCTTCTTTTGCCTTTTTTGTGTGTGTATGTTCCAGTCGTTCGTTCGTGCGTATGAAGCGCGTTTTGCTCTTTTGCTCGTCTATACGTTTTATTGTTTCTTTTTTTTTTAACCTCGTCTTTTTTTTCGTCTTTTTTATGCAGTGCTCTACCATTTTGCTTCTCCCTTTTCCTCCTCTCCCTCTCTTGCCTCAGATGCGCATCTTCTTCTGCCCGCTGCCGCGCTCCCTGCAGGAGGGTATGTGCCGCTCCGCCGCCGCCGGGGCAAAGCGGCGGCCGCAGGAAGGGCACCCCACGCGGCCGTCCTCAAACACGTCCATGTCGCCCACACTGTCCGGCAACACCGTCTGCGCGGAGGTGCCAGGCAGCTGCAGGGATTGCCGGAGATGCGCACTCTGCTGCCGCCACTTGGCGGCCGGTTTCCCCGCAGCAGAGCCCTTGGCGTCCCCCGACTTGCCTCGGCTCGAGGCAAGCGGCTGCGCGGTGTCGCGGAGGACGCTGCTAGAGTCCAGGCTCCCGCCGGTGCTGGCCCGAGACGCACGGTGGGAGCGGTTGCCGGGCGTGCCGCGCGCGACCGAAGTTCTACTGTTGCGTTTGCGCTGCTGCTGCTGTTGCTGCTGTTGCTCGCAGACCGCCACGTGGCGCGGCCAGCGCGACTCCGCAAAGAAGCTTCGCCCACAGTACGGACAGGGCCGCAGCGGCTCCTCCGCCCCTTCCGCCGCCTCGCCCCAGTTGAGGCCACTGACGGCGGTGCTGTTGCACGCCACGCTGCTCTGGCGGCAGGAGAGGGTGGGCTGCGCCACGCCCGCCCCGCCCTCTCCGTCCTCTCTCGACTTCACGGTGTTGCCGAGTGACAGCCACACCGGCAGGGGCGAGGACCTGTCGAACGACACCCGATCCGCGACGGCCGCCGGGAGCTCGTCGATGGAATTCCTCGCACTCGGCGACATCTTGTGCTGCGACTGCGGCCCAAATGAGGAGGGCGTCAGCTCCCGCGAGAGGGAGAAGTTGCGGGCAAACTCGCGCCTGTCCTCCCTCTCCACGCACTCCTCCCTTCGCTCGTCCAGCACCGACGAGCACGGGATGGAAAGCGAGTGGTTGGTGCTTGGACTTTCTGCCAGTGCCGAAGGCTGCAGGGGTGCGGCGGCGTTGCCTCCTGCGGCCGCGCGACGCTGCGACTGCTCTGCAGGAGGTGCACCGGGCGCATTCGCAGTGGACGGCGTGCAACGCGCGGTGGCCGCCGTCGCGCGCGGGGACGTACTCGCCGCAGGTTCGAGTCGCCGCTGCGTCAGCTCCAGTTCAGACCTGAAGGTTGAGGAGGTGAGCGGCGGTGGGGACGTCGTCGTCGCGGCCTGGACGGAGCGCGCAGACGGCGGCACCGTCTCGCCCCCCTGCCTCCGCAGCAGCAAGTTGTACCTTCGGCAGTTGCTTCTGTGGCGGGTGTAGGCGGCCGCGTCCGTGTAGCGGCGCGAGCAGCCCGGGCAGCGCCACCCGTCGTCGCACGCCTCCTCCTCCTCCTCCGCCGCCGCCGCTGACGCCGCTGCCGCAGCGCCGGCGGGCACGGAAGTCGAGCGGCGCCTGTTCTGCGCGGCCCGCCGCTCGGCGAGTTGGTTGCGCTGCGCCGTCCGCCTCTGCTGGGCGCTCAGCCGCAGCCGCAGAAACAGCGAGGCGCGGATGTCGTTGGCCTGCGCGTTCGCCAGAAACGCCATCTGCTCCCGCAGCAAGTCGCCCGCCGCTGGGCTCCAGGGCCACCCCACGCCGCCCGCCGCCCCGTTCGCCCCTGCGCCGGCGAATGCCGCGCCGCCGCCGCCTTGAACGGCCTGCGCCGCGGCCGCGTCCTGCGCTGCGTGGTGCATTGCGGCAGGGCAATTTGCACCCGTCACGTTGGCCGCCAATCCGCGGGGGAGGGAGTCACGGCACTCGACAGCGCACACTCCCGCTTCCGTCCTACCCGCGTGAATGGACTCGCCTCCCCCCTTATATTATTATTATTGTTCTTTCCTTTTCTCTCTTCTCCTGCTCCTTCCTTCCGCACAGCCGGGGGACCCGCGACCTTCGTGCTTTCGCCGCCCACACCACGCGGGGCAGGAAGCACGGCGCAGAAACAAACCGGAGGGACGGCCAAAACGGAAAAGAAACAAAAAAAAGACAAAAGGGAAAATAACAGTCCTGCAGCGGCAACAAAATCCCCAAAGGAGCATCTCCACCCCTCCCTCCCTCCACACACACGCAAAGGAGCGGGGCGAGGAGCCAAAGAGCCTCACGCACAGCGCTCACCGCAAAGTTTGCCGCCGCTTCGCCCTCCCCGACCGCACGGCAGACTGCGATGGATGGCGCCCCCCCCGCACACTCACAATGAGACACACGCCGCACGCCCCGTCACTCCCGCGCCACCGCAGCGGGGAACAAAAAAAGAGCCGTCGTCGCGGACTGCCGGTGCCTCTAGCGAGAAGTAAGAGAAAAGGAGGGGAAATGGGAGCGTGTCTGCGGCACAGCCAGCGGCGGAAGGAAACGCAGCACGGAGACACGCAGCGACAGCGGCGGACACGGCGCACAAACTAAACGTGAGCCGCGGCGAGTTATTCCAGCAAAATTAAAACGAAAAAAGAAACAATGCGGAAGCCCAACAGAACTTAGAGAAAACAAAAAAAGAATGACTTTGACCGGTGTTTCTTTACTTTCAAGCGTCCAGCAGCACAAGAGGACTGTAAGAGTGTGTTTACTGTAATAACTGCACGAATAAAAAGGAAACATCGCCTTCTTGCATGGGCCCACACACCCCTCGCACATTTCATGCGGCGTTCGGCCTGCGCTTCCACCCGGCAGTTGCGTCACATCCGTGCGGCGCACAGCAATGCGGCCGGCACCGCCTGTGGGTGTGTGGGCTGCAGCAGCAAACAGGAGGGGGAAAAGGTGCGCCGCCC